CCGCTGGGCCAATCGGCGTCCCACGGGGCAGCGGGTGAGCGCCAGCTCCTGAAAATCTCCAGCCGCCTTCAGAGGACAACAGCTTCCGCTGCCAGGGGCCCGGGTGCTGACAGAACCAGCTGAGGGAGAAGCTCTGGGGCCCTGCAGGACGATGCCCCAGGCCCGGGCCTGAGACCGCGTGGGGCTGGGCACGCAGAGCGTTACTCGGCAGACGCCACGGCTCCGCGAGCACCCGAGGGCTCCTACCTTCCGGCAGGTGTCCAGGCGGACGGCCAGCTCCGCCCGGTGGGACAGGTACACCACGGCCATCAGGTCCTTGTAGCTCGGAGAGTCTGCGGGGCGAGAAGGGAGAAGATGTGGGACGCGGCGCGACGACCTCCCCGGGCCCCCGCCCAGCCCCCGGGCTGAGCCCAGCTCGCCACGCCCCAGGCTCTCGCCCGCCCCTCGCCGCCCTCGCCGTACCCGAGCCGAGGACCTGCTCCAGGAGGCAGCGGAAGAGCAGCATGGAGACGGGGATGTCGCCCAGGTACGCGATGAGCCCTTGGTAGCCCACGTCCTTCAGCTTCAGGCGGTGCTTGCTGCGCTCGGGCGCCTTCTCGTTTGAAGACTCTCTCCCGCACGTCGTCCGAGAACTTCCTCTGGACGAGCAGCGAGAAGAGCACCTCCACGCTCCCCGACTCAAACAGGAAGGTGTAGAGCTGCTCCTGCGAGGGGGACCCCTTCAGCAGGCTGTGCACCACCTCCAGCATCCCGCACACCTGCAATTGCACGGGCAGGCCGTCACACCGGGGCCCCGAGCCCCCCAGACCATCTCCCGCACGTCGTCCGAGAACTTCCTCTGGACGAGCAGCGAGAAGAGCACCTCCACGCTCCCCGACTCAAACAGGAAGGTGTAGAGCTGCTCCTGCGAGGGGGACCCCTTCAGCAGGCTGTGCACCACCTCCAGCATCCCGCACACCTGCAATTGCACGGGCAGGCCGTCACACCGGGGCCCCGAGCCCCCCAGACCACAACCACCCACCCCCCAGCCGTGGCACGGCTGGGGCTCTCGTGACGGGCAGGGATTCCGTGGGACAGGCCGTGTCACGGCGCTGCTGGACGA